TAGCGGGCCAGGGTTTTGTGCTTCGTTTCTCCTAAGCAACTACTAGTTCATGGATAAGAACATTTGGGTCCCTAAGAAATAACAAAGTGCTCAGATCTTTAGCCTCCCCAATTGCCTCCAAATTCTTGAATAAATTTTGAAAATTCAATCTTTAAACAACATTTTTCTTAAAAAGTGTACTTTGACCTATGAGCGTAAGATTTTAAATGGACTAACGATCGGTGGTTAGTCCATATGTAGAGATAGAGAAACACTAATATTAAAATGGTCTTGGGCTTTATATTTCGGTTGTTGCATTTAATTCTTGATGCTAATAGATAGCTAGGTCTCCAAAAGAGAACAATAATTCTTGATATTAACAGTAACTTTTATGGTGTCCTTGGCTATCTTCATTGCATAAAATGATTAGGCTGATTTTGTACAATGATTTTTTTCCCTCCTTCAAGAGATCACAGACATTTGTCCATTAATGTCATGCTTTTGCCAGTATACATTTTAATTTTGTCGTGCACTTTCCAAATTGGGGTAGACAGACAACGTTTGAATCGCTTTCATACTTCCGGTACGCTTCGTTGTCTTTTTCCACTGCAGCATGACAAAACCAAGGCAGCAAGTTGCCTTTTCTTTTATTTCATTTGGCCCTACCGATTGAATTCAACCTTTGCTGAAGACATGGATGACGGGAGCAGAATTGTATTACTTGCATTAGGGTTGCGTCATCATAAACCAAATGAACACTCCAAGATTTTTTAAAATCTTTTTAATGCGAGGCCGCAGCCCAATGCATTCACGTGTCGAAATTGATATTTAATTGATTATATAATGAGAAGTCATTTGACTAATTTCATAGTCTCATAAATTTATGCTGTATGAAAGCCTGTTTTAGTTGTTTAGCAAATTGCCTAGTTTGAACTTTGGCTACAAGATGGAGCTGCCATCTAAACCTAGTTTCATGATCATGGTCCATATTATGCAATTTCAGTCATGCACCGATACATGTGTAAATTTAGCTAACTCCTTTTCAGAGGAAAAGAAAGGTGGTCTTTCTGACCTAGTTAGAAATTTATGAGTAGCTCAAGATTTAAAAATTAGTTGTAGGTAGAATACTAGCTAGGCACCACAATGTCGCGCACCAAAAACTAAAAGTGAATTTGACACAAACAACACACAATGATTTATGTGGCTTGGTAACTGACTTACTTTATAGGCAAATTGATACAAATATTTTATATTAGATTAGAATTAGAGATGGATACGGGCCATTTGATCACATTTCTTGTGCGCACACCATAAGGTGCTGCACTTTCCACTCTTGCCTCGCACCCAATCGATGCACAGCGCTGGCCCTAATTCCCACCTCTGCAAGGCAAAACGGTACTTTCCGGGCTTTCATCCATCAACTGAACAAAATAAAATTCTCCCTTTATGAAGGTACTGTTCCCACAGTGATGATAGTGAGGAAAAATCAGAGAGAGATGCAGATCGGTGGTACGATGGCAAGGTCTCACTTCGAAATGATAAAGCAGAGAGAGAGAGAGAGAGAGAGAGAGAGAGAGAGAGAGATGTGGTGGACGGCGAGACGGCGACCGGCCAAGGCAAAGAATCGTTAAGGATGTCAGAGAGATTGAAGGAGGAGGTGAATCGTAATGAGAAGAGTGGGAAGAGAAAAGTTGAGCAAAACTTTTGCCAATCTTTCCTGAACGCCACCTATCATGCCTAGATTCCCCGCCAGTCGCTCTACAGGGGTTAGGAAATCCCTAATTAGTGTATATGACTGATGAAAATATGGAAAAACATAGGTTGGGACTAATTAGGGTACAAAAGTTTCTTGCCAGATGGACCTGAGATGGGTTCAGCCAGCCAAACCCTATCTCTCTTCAACCAAACCAAACCTGGTAAGTGTATATGACTTCATGTTCTAGATGCACAAACATCTGTTGTGACTCTGATAGAACAAAAGAAAAAAGAAGCTCCACATTACACAGTTGAATTTGCGGGAGTCATTGTGAAGTATGAAAGTGGTAAACATGAAAGTCTTCGTCGTGCCTTAGAATAGACGTCCTTCTCTATGTTCTTCATGAATTCCATTAGTGGTCATACGTGAGCTGTCGCCTCAAGATTTCTGAATATTTTGTGTTCTTAAAATCAAACGCACGTGTTCAAAAAGTCGGGGAGAGAGAGAGAGAGAGTAATTTAGTAATGTTTAGCTTTGCGCGTTGACCACATCCATTTGGTGAATGAGTTTTAATAATATGTAACTTTTTTTATTTCGTTCCCTACAAAAAGAGGCATGTATACTCACCCACGGGTAGCTCAGTTGGTTATGGCGTACTTGAGATTGTATAGTTAGGCGCACTGGTCCCAAGTTCGATTCCCCAGCTGAGCACTTGTGATTTAAGTGGGGGGCCATGGCGGTGGGTTGCTGTGCTAGTCTCCCCCGAGGAATAATCGAGGTGCGCGCAAGCTGACGCAAACACCTCGGTTACCAAAAAAAAAAAAAAAAGGAAGCATGTATCTAAGATGCTCAGGAGTATAAGCGTGTTGAAGGAATGCTATAGTCAAGATTTCAGAATTTGGACCTTTCATCGGATGGCAAGTTTCCTATTGAATTTGGTGTGTTTTATGACAAGTGAAGATGCATTATTTAACTTCGCTGCTGACAAAGGAGCAATGTATCTTGGGTACAAGACAGTTTACGATAATAGTTTATTGCAAACCCTTGATTATTTCCTAGGTCTCTGATTAAACATAAATCTGCCTTTTGCAATTGCATCTAGGTTTCACTTATCTGAGTGAGGTGTTATCTCTCTCTCTCCCTCTCTCCCTCCCTCCCTCCCTTCCTCCCTTCCTCCCTCTCTCTCTCTCTCTCACGCGCACACAACAATGCAACAAGAATAGGACTTCCAGATCAGTGAAATTAACAATTAATGCTGCATACCGATGTATAAATGTGTGGATTTCGCTCATGGAATATTGCAAAGCTTAATTATTTTAAGAGTACTTGCCGCCAAAGATTAGGCTAGAACTAAGCATGTTTTGTTAATCAATTCAAGTCACAATTTCAATATGTACGATGTCCTTTAACCCTCCGAGGAAGTCCTCCTTTTACAGATTTCACTAAAACGTTAAAAAGAAGTAATAACCCACTAAAAATAACCTCAAAGCACGCATGTTCATATGTTTTATATGCTTCCTGCAGTCCAATCTAAGTACAAATGACTTGCACCACAACGCCATAACAATCTTTCTTAGAGCCAATCATATATCACATATGACACCTCAGATCCATAACTTACAGCATCTTACTTTAGAAGACTCGACAATGCAGTGTAAAATAAAAGCACATCATATTTTTTGAGTAGAATACTGATATAAATGAAAGTTCGGTGCATTTAGGGAATGAAATTAGAGGATAATGTCATGAGCATAAGTCATTCTAAACTACATGGATCAATAATTGACATTAGTTACCTGAATATTTTCTTGCCTGACTCGTTCAACGTTAGAAAAGCTAAAGGTGCTCTAGAAAGTTGTATAGCACTCTCGAGCAGGTATTACTTTGCACGATGAGCTATTGACCTCGCAGCTAACTTTCCATTTAGTTCATTTAATTAATCTGTTTCAATATCAATTCTTGGCCTCCACCACCGGAAAAGTTCTTTGTCACCACATAAAGAATGGAAAACTTTCGTCTAATTTCAAACTTGGTGAATTGGCGTGGGTCACCTTTTCACATCAATTTTCAAGACCGTGGAGAAATAATATGTTAGTTTTCAATTGTTTTGTGGAATTTATTGTCATCCGCTAATCGCACCAATGACATAGGCAGGTTTACTTCACTTGCCAAAATCAACATAGATCTGTTTCATAGTAGGCATACTCTCTTAAACTTGGATTTATACGAATAAACCATCCTCCACATTCATTGAATGCGCTAAAGATATATATTGATTTTCTGAAATTATAATAATATCTTTCATTCTAAATTCTTGGAGGGAAAGTAAATGAAATAGAGGAAAGTGTGCTCTATTAAGTTCATGTAAACAAGCCATTTGTTGCTGGAGAGAAAAAATTGATTGGACAGATGTTCATGCTAAAAGTTTTAGAGTAATGAATTGTCCTAGTTGAGTAAAGGGCTTGCCAGTATATAGTTGTGACTAGAGTATGTCTCCTACGGCAAGATACATTTTATACTTGAATGTCCAATAGTGGGGGTCAGTCCGTACTTTACCATTGATGCTAAACATGCACAACATATGGTGCTTCCAGGAAGAGCAAGTACCCAATGCCCCTTGGAATTATCTGCTCGTTGATTATCCATGAAAAAGCAAGTTTTATGATAATTTATTTTTCATGCTAAATCACTCTTTTCATTACAAGTATTCTGCTTCCCAACTAGCTGATTAGGATCATCCTCTTGTGTTATCGATCAACATGAGACATTTAGATTAATCATAAGTAAAATTATCACGTCACTTTGGGGTCTTCTATAGTAATTATCTAGGGAAAATGAATACTAAAACGATACTTATAACTCATCTTTCGCTAACAAAGCTTGGTATTGGCCATAAAACGAGTCGACCTTTGCCAGATTTTCATTGCTCGGAAAAAGAATTGATTGCAAAAAGCCAGGAAGATTCGAGCTAGCTAAAACATTGAGCAACAAAAATTATAATAGATAAAGGGTTACCATATAGTTGAAATCCTCCAATGGGAACAGAGACCATTTATATTTTGAATATCAAACAAGACTCGGGGTCAACACCCACTTTACTATGATGCTAAATATGCAGAAATACGTGCTATTTCCTGGAAAATCAAGTACCCATTTCCCCTTGTGATTATCTGCTTTTAATTATTCATGAAAAAAGCCTTGCACGCCAAGGTTTGAAGACCCGTGCGAGGTACAGGATGAGTATAAATCCAAGTGACCCTCTTTGGAGAGGACTAGCTTCATTCAAAGCCAAGGAGGGTTGGAAACTGCGCAATCTTTGGTGTCAATGGCCAGGTATCCCAGGGTTAACAAAATCAGCAACCGCAAGACTATGAAGAAGGGTGCTTGGAGTGCTGAGGAAGACCGGAAACTGGTGGCTTACATCATGCGATATGGGATTTGGAACTGGACTCACATGGCCGAACCCGCTGGTCAGTGCGTGATGTGTTGGAATCCTTTATTTTCTTGATCTAATTTCTTTTCAACGAAAGGATTTTAGTGGATTTGGTTCTTCCCTATTCAAGACTAAATCATCTTAAAGAGTCAAGTAACTGAGTGGCCTATATATGGATCCAAACCACAGAACAGTGGTGGATCAAGATTTTATAGAAAATGTCAACTCATAATCACTAACCCTTGTCTTGAATCTGTTATTATCATCAGGCTTGGCAAGAACAGGAAAGAGTTGCCGACTTCGGTGGATGAACTATCTGAGGCCCAACATCAAGCATGGCAACATCACCAAGGAAGAGGAGGAAATCATTATCAACTTGCACCGATTTCTTGGTAACCGGTAAGTGAATTTGGAGTATGCGGCATGATTCTCGGTTGATATTTTAAGACATATATGGACTTTAGGCAAGTTGTGCTTCAGAATATGTTCTATTCTGTTGATTAAATCATTTTCCTCAGTTTACTTGCAATTAACCTGATGCAACTTCAAACCATCTGCTTTTCCTAACTTATAGACAGCATAGATACAGCACACAAACTGAGGAAAGTACCAAGGTCTCTGCTACGGCATGGAAATAACTTTGTCTTGTCATTATACCACAACTCGAGGGACAGGGACGAGTGGAGTAATCACCACAGTAAAGAATCTAAAACCCTAAATCAGATTAATGCATAAATCAAGCATTTCATATTGTATGTATATCTCTGATTCTACTAACAAGCAAGAACACATTGTCATTGCTATTCATAACAAGCTAGTTTTCTAATTTATAGTTTTTCTTGTTGTAGTTGGGCCACAATTGCAAGTAGACTTCCAGGAAGGACAGACAATGAGATTAAGAACTACTGGCATACTCGCTTGAAGAAACGCTTCGTCCAGGAAAAGTTGGAAATGCCAATTGCATGTGATGTAAAAGTTAGCTCCAATCCAAATAATGTTTTAACCCACCAAAATTCATCTATTTCCATTCTTTGTCCTACAGAGGCAACAAATCTTGGATCTCCCCAGGATATTCCAACACTAAATGCAAGCAGCTTGTGCCCATCTTATGAAATTCATCAAGGTGAAAAATCCCCAGCGAATTGCTGGCACTCACAAGGCAATATAATTGGAGAAGATGAAAACTTGTGGGAGCAATTGCTTTCTCTGAAAGATTTTTGTGCAATAGAAGATTTGGAGGGTATGTGCCTGAACTCGGGAAGTACATCGCCTTCTTCTGAGTGTACATGCTCCGATCGTGTGTATTTTGGTGATTCCTACGATGACTTCACCATAGATTTATGGGGAAACTGATGGTAATATGGTTGAAGATTGTCACAATGGTGGATCTCCTCAGTTATGTCAGTTTTCCTTTGTTTTTCAGAAGGCTAGCTTTTTTCGCCTATGAAGTAAACTTTGTTGTGCGTCTATCTAATAAAGTTACCGCAGGGTTATTTATAATAGCCTAGCATGTCTATCAGTAAGAGTTGATCGATGAAATAAATGTTGTACTATCCAACATCAGTTCTATGGTGATAATATTTTGTCTGGTTTAGAGATCAACTCTCCTTTATTAATCATGAATGATCTTTATAGGGGAGCTTCATACTGTATCAGAACGATGTGAGAATACGTATTCTAAATTTCTTGTCTGTTTATTAAGTAGAACTGTTATACTTTTATTCCTTTTGATATAATTTCTATTTAGTGCGGTGGCCGGCTACCGGCCGGCCGGCGTCTACATTAGCAAAATCTAGCAAAAACTGACCGGAAGGACTGAATTAGCACAAAGACAAAATGTTTAGAACTGAATTGGCACAAATGCAAAAGGTTTAGGACTGAATTGGCACAAAAAAAGGTTTAGGACTAAATTGGCACCGGTACAAAAGGTTTAGGACTGAATTGACATAAAAAAAAGATTTATGACTAAATTGACATCAATGCCAAAGGTTTAGGACTTTTTTGACACTTTTCCCTAAGATGTAAGCAAAATTAATCAAGTATAGGGATGGTTTTACTAGTTATTAGTTTGGCAATTGTTGTTTAGAATCTTTGTTCATTGACTTCTCACAAATTTGTAAAAATTGAAATAGGTATGGGCAACATAGATAAGTAAGGCCAGACATCTAAACGTGGGAATTACTGCACTAGTCTACATTCAATCGTTCACCCATCCACGTGAAACATGGGTCAGTCAGCAGGAGAACGTCCTCCCATATTGTCAATACGTAAATCAATAGTCGTGGTCAGACTCAGACAGAAATATTCGTAGTGAAATCAAGGTGTTTGTGGCTTTGGTGAACTAGGGAGAAGCTGCAAGGTAAGAGTAACTAGTGGGAAATGACAGAGTATGCTTCGAAAGTATGTTGACTGAGTAGTTTTAGGCACACAATCGCACGTAACGACTGATAGATAGTACATGCACACGGACGGCAAGATTAGTTGGGAATCAAAGCAATTGACCCAGTACTTGTCACATCAATGAAGTTTTCGATGAAGGAGACAGCACAGCTTCAAAAAATATTAAAATATTATTAAAAATTATCCACGTCAGCGTCGGTGACTGATCAGAGTCCACGTTAGCAAAATCCAATCAAAATTGGCCAGAAGGAATGAATTGACATAAAGACAAAAGGTTTAGGATTGAATTGGCACCAATGCAAAAGGTTTATGATTGAATTGGCACCAAAAAAAGGTTCAGGACTAAATTAGCAGCAATCCAAAAGGTTTAGGACTGAATTGGCATAAAAAAAGTTTATGATTAAATTGGCACCGATGCAAAAGATTTAGAGCTTTTTTTTTAACACCTTTCCCCAACATCTTGTCTTTAAAAGCCACCTTTTAAGTGACTCATCACGAAACATAACGTTGGATGTTAAAAAGATAAAAATCGAGAATATCAAGTAAACTTTGGTCTATTACTATATATCACGATTATGAAGAAAGCAAGGAAGGATAGACTCAACCTATAAATGATATGTGGTCAAAATCAAACACAACTTAAGAAATGCTTGCAAGCTTGTATTCTTTCTATGGAACCCAAAATGAATTTTTCCATTTCTAAGATGTGATTTATTATGACTACGTGAAAGCATGAAAGCATGACGATTTGAGTAGTCCAACTTCTTCGTCATGACCGTCGTCTTGCCCAAGCCTCTCTAGGCTCGTCACCCACTGCAAACTCTAACCAAGTTGAACAGTACTTGAACTTGGTCAATGGGATAGGCTTCGTCAAAATGTCTATCGGATCATTTACTGTGTGCACTTTCTCCAATGAATACGATTCCTTGTGACACAATATTAATTACAAAACTGTGTGTGGCATCATTGTGTTTCATCCGCTTGTGATACGCATGATTTTTGGTCAAATGTATTGCACTATGATTGTTGCGGCAAATAACAATCTTCTCTTACAACAATCCCAGATTATGAAACTAACCGCTGAGCCAATTGCTTCTTTTACTACCTCGGTTGACACCATATACTCTACTTTAATGTCAGCAAAGTAGCTACATTGTGTTTTCCAACTGACAATCTTTAAAATTGAACACTTCATTTGTCAAGAACCTCCATCCATCCAAGTGACGGGCAAAATCTAAATACAACACTATATTCAAATTTAATTTCAAATGTAGCATCTTCTCAATAGTTTAACTAGAAACTCGTTGATGCATTGAACCTCCCAAAACAAAGTTGTTCTGAAGGTTGCACCTATCGAAACAAAAACTATTCTCTAAACACCATTTCACTTCAATGGTCAACGTTTGAGCAACCTATTTTTTCTCCTTCTTTCTATTTCTCCTTCAAGCCAAAATGTATAAACAAATACAATGTAAATATAAAAACCAATCATACTAAAACTTATTAAGTACATTACATATATACACAACACAGGGTTGCCATGGCGAAGGAGTCGACAGGTGGCGGTGGCTCGAGCCGAGGGCAGAAAGAGAGTTACTGTAGTGGCTGTTTGATGAGAAACAGGTGAGAAGGGGCAGAAATGGAATGGGAAAAATGGGGCCAAAAAAAAACGCTAGTCTTGAAAGGAAAAAAAAAGAAAAAAGGACAACAGATTTGAGCAGCCAATAATTCTCATGTGTACCTCTATTTTCGAACATGAAGAAGAATCGCTTCCTCTTTTGACCATGCGGTCCACTCTTTAGGTCGAGTCGCTTTCAAACTTGCCGTACGCTTGGTCGCCATTACTGTATGAAGGTCCCAACTAGTGATTAATTTAAGTCTCTGCTGACACACGGATGACTTGAGCAGATTTGGATGACTTGCACTGTGGCAACCTCATCATGAATGACGATGCAATGCCACGCTCCACCTGATTTTCTCATATTCTTTAAATGAGGCCGCAGCCCTAAAAAGATGCACGTTTCCCAAATTGAATTTCAATTGATTATTTCAGACGTCCTTTGACTCGTGTCACCAGGTTACATCTGCCATGAACCGGGCCAGTCCTGCCAAAATAATAATGGAGTTTTTGAACATTCAATAAGACAATACATAACCTCTTAATGAATTTTGGCCTAATGAATTCCTACCATATTTTGTTGCCTGTGATGCATGCATAGGTTCCTGACGCGCCACACACAACATTCGTGCTTGCACGCTTGTGCATGCGTAATTACATATCTAAATGCTTTTGCTTGGAGATATAAGCTTTAATTCAAGCAAGCCACGGAGATTCAGCTTCTACAAGCGGCGTATTAACTTCATATTACCAGTCATATTACACTTATATATTTGCTTCAAACTCAATTCACCCTTCTTTGACAAATGCACATCTATCCATTTCGCCTTTGCACACTTAGTTCTCAGATTGGCATTCTCAAAATTTCTTAAAATAAACAAAATTTCTTTTTCTTTTTGGCGGAATCTGAATTGCGGATAATAACGCAATGCGGAAAAATAAGCACTGGTTTTTTTGTGCAATCCATTAAATTCGATGCCGATCAAGCACATCACCATATAACATGGACTCTAGAAAGCAATTAATTTGATAGCGAATTGTAAGCAATATATAGATACTCTCTATGAAATCTAAACGTGTGCCATGGTCCAACTACCGTATAAAACTCAGCGCCAATTAGTCTTTCCTTAGAGTTAGAGCCTGGCATATATCATATTTGATTCTTCGAATTTGTAGCCATGTTACATTTTTTAACAGACCAGGGTTAACAATTAAAACCTTCCTTGATTATTAATTTGTTTTTATACATTTTGTTGATTAGGCGAATGTGGCACAAACACATTAGGTTTTCGTTAAAGGATTGATCGGAGGATGACCGAATGCATTAAATTCAAGATAATTAAACTTTATTGCATCCAAAGTACGAGATATTCCAAAATAAAGTAGCCAGAAGTGTCATATTCCCCTGGCTATTTCTATCCTGACTTGTTCCGTATTAGAAAAATCTAAAGCTATTCCACAATGTTTCACAGCTCTCGTGTAGGTATTACTTTGCACCATGTGCATTTGACTTCGTTGCTAGCTTTCCATTTACTTCATTTGATTAATTTGTTCATGATCATTATTGGTCTCCGGAAAAAGCACTAAAAAGGCATACACCTATTGCATTGACATCAGTTCAGTCCTAAATCTTTCAATTTGATCAATTTAGTTTTAGAGCTTTTTATATTGGTACAAAATGAGTCCATCTGATCAATTTAGGCCGAAAATTGCTGACGTTGATATTTTTTATTGAATTTTTCAATATTTTTTTCGATTTTTTTTTTTAAATTTTTTCATTTCTTTTTCCTTTTCTTTTTTCTTTCCTTTTTGGGTTAATACCACGAAAAATTCCAAACTGGTACGCATATGACAAATTTACCTCAACCTAATTTTTTGACCACGAAAAATTTTAAACCGGTATACTTGTGACAAATTTACTCAAAATTAATTTTTTGATCACCAAAAACCTTAAATTGATACATTTTTGATAAATTTACCCTCTGTTAAATTGAATTAACACTACAAAAAATCACAAGTTAGTACATCTGTGATAAATAGAGGGTAAAACCCCAAACCGGTACACCCATTAATTACCACGTGTCATCCAACTTATAAATTTGACGGTAAAATTTAACGAAAACTAATGGATGATAAAATTGTCACAAATGTACCGGTTTGGGGTATTTTGTAGTCCAAAAATTAGTTTAGGGTAAATTTATCATTAGTATATCAGTTTGGGGTTTTTCATGGTATTAACGCTTCCTTTTTTTCCTTTGCCAGTCACTAGCCTCCGTAATGGTCGGCGGAGGTCGCTAGCGAGGGGACCCTTGCCCAGCCCTCCCCAAAGGCCAAC